GTTGTTATTTTAGCTAAAGTATGTTTCAAACGACACCAGATTAAATTACTATGTGCGTATGTGCCCTTTTTGGCAAGAATACTTCGAGTATTAAATTACACTAAGTAAGTAGGATACTCCAAAATCACTGTTATATCTATTTTCATCAATTTAGTCTTAAAACGACAACTCGTTTCAGACATATTGTGGTTTAAAATAAGTGTATTGAATTAGTGCGCTTGCTGGCCGTGTGCGAATTTTCAAAAAGTCTGTACTTGAGTTCTAAAGCTTTTAAAACGCTTTTTCTATTGGGTTTTATATCCCCATAAAACTTTAAATCGATAAAGCAGATAATAATATTGATGCAACCTCATTTTCTAGTAACTACACGTTGAATCAGAAGGAAAAGTTATCAAAAATAGGTCGCGACCGTTGCTTGCAAAATGCCGCTTCTCTCTGAAATGGCTTCCTTTGCGGGAAGCCATTAAATTGAAGTCCTAACAAAAACATACTTTAGCAGTTCTTTTGGGCCCATAGCTCACTTATTTATCATGAAATCGCTTCACTAGAACATTTTTAATAATGTCTATGGGAAACTTTGTTATTTTCTGAACTAAAAGTTTATGGTTTTGAGGTGTTTATTTTATAAAATAGCACGCACAACAAAATGGCACTAATGTGGTTTCTCATGTCTGACAAACAACCAAAGATGAAAGTCCTTATTTCACCCTTTTATAGCTATGTTGAATACCTGAATATTAGGTTATCTTTTTCATTTGAGCATACAGATAACATTTTTACACAATTAGTCCTTATGAAAGCTTATTTCAAACTAAGAAAAGCGATTGTTTTTCAGAGGCAGACTTCAAAAGAGAACGCGTGTCTGACATTTTATAGCAGCCTATACATTGGTGCGCAAAATAATTTTGGCTAAAAACCGTTTCTTTCCAAACAGAAACATGAGAAAATTGAGCTAAAAGGCTTACCTGATGTATGTTTAAAATGTTTTTCTCTTTATGATGTTTTTCAGTGCTTTGAGTAGAGAAGTGAATAACTTTTGGTTTTGTCACCGCAATTTGCCTTTGAAAATGTCGGCTGTCATTGTCTGTGTTAAAAACACCTCAGAAAATTCCTATTTTCTCACCTTCCCATCCTTGGTTTATATTGAAAATAAATAAATTCTAGTACCATATGTCCTTTTAAATATATTTGAGGTAATTAAAAACTCCAAAGATGAACAAGCACTGTGTTTTGGCTTGCACATTTTGTTGAATTTGAACACTTAGTTACTGTTCTAAATTTCATGTTGTAAATATCTTGCCCAAAAAAAGCAAATGAGTATTTTTTATAATTTTTGATCGTTTTCTAATTCATATCCCAAAAGATGAAAATTGGTTATAATATAGATATGTACTGATTTAGTAAATGATTTTTTTTTGTTTTTATATAAATTTATGGAGATATTGCCCCTTTAGGTGATGAGTGACATGAAAAACAAAGTGTCACTGCTTTACAAATAAAAATTCTCATTGAAAAAACTAATGATATATGTAGGTATGCAAAGTCATTTAAACTAAATTTGGTCAATCATATATCACTAATGTTTGGTTGAAAAGATCAGATTTTTTTATGCAACTGTTTCTGAGATATTGCCATTTTGGTGAAAGCTCTTGAATTCAATCACAAATTCGCCATATTGCTTGCGCCTTAGGCGGGTAGAAACATTGTAACAGCTTGCCGCTTAATGAGTTAATTAAATGTAAAATATTACCAACGAATTTATTATTTCCTGTTTTACCTTATCAATCGGAAGGAAAATTAACCTTTCCGCTGTGTCATACATGTGTGTGTAAACATGCTGAACAGTGCACGCACAGTGACGAGGAACATTCTCTTTACAGTACGTGGACCAGTGTTGAAATACAAAAAGCTTTAGAATTGGGGTATAAAATTTTAAACGTCTACGAGATATATCATTTTGAGAAATGTCAGAAAATTTTCGATAGTTACGTCAATATGTTCATGAAACTTAAACAGGAAAGTAGTGGCATTCCGAAACATTGTTTAGATGAGAATGGTGTAGTGATAAAAGAAAAATTGCAAAAGTATATTATAGAGAATCTGGAACACGAACAAGTTCAATTAGATGCGGAAAAAATTGACTATAACCCCGGACAACAAACCGTTATGAAAGCGCTGTTAAACTCCCTGTGGGGCAAATTAGCGCAAAACGAAGACACAACCATTGTGTCGTTTCTCGACTCTATGGACGAGTTACTAGAATTGGTAAACGATCGAACAATTTAGGTGACCTCTTTAGATTTTATAAGCAATAATGTCGCTCGAACCACACACCGGAAGGATAGTTGTCTAACACCTTTACCTAACCGCAATGTAATTATTGCGTCGTTTGTGACAGCCTACGCACGTCTAGAACTATTTAAATATATTAGTTTTTATCGAGGATGTTGAGAACGGTAAATTTTTACAGATTGGCGAATATCTTGGTGACATGACCGATGAATTGTATGAAAAAAACATGAGTGAAAAATGGATCGAGCAGTTTTGTACATGCGGTCCAAAAGCCTATTCCTATCGTACAAATGAGTACACGCGATACTTGGAAGACAGTACGGAACAACAACAAAAAGACGAGGTTGTGCACGTAAAGGGGTTTATGTTGAAGGGTGATGCAAAAGACAAGATTACGTTCGATAGCCTTGAAGCGTCTATAGGGGATAATAAAAAGGAAATTGCTGTAATCTATCGAGAATTTGTCCGCGAGACTAGCCAGAGTATTGTAGTAAAAAATAATTTGAAAAAATTTAAATTCACTTTTGACAAATGCGTTACACACAATGATTTTACAACCACACAGTTCGGGTACATAAAATGAGTTATACTTTTTTTTCGCAGAGTGCTTTCGCGGATTTACACAAAGTGATTTTACTGTTGCAGCATCCGTTTATGATGACTGTTTACTGACCCACACAATCGGGAAAAACCCATAAAATTGTCGAAATTATCGAGAACATTGACAAGGTTATCCAACCAACACCTGACAAACTACTTTACCTATATACAGCGGAACAACCTGCCTATGACAAAATTAAGGAGATCATATGTGACAAAACTACAACGTCAAAACTACAGACATACGAGTTTGTCGACTGTACAAAAGGTATACCCACTGTAGCGGACATAAAACCAAAATTGGGAAACGCAACACTAATGGTTCTAGATGATTTGATGGTTCTAGCAATGACAACGAAAGAAAATGCGGATAATTTGAATAATCTAGCATCTCGCGACAGTCATCATTTAAATATCTCCGTTATGTTCGGGTGTGAAAATTTAAATTATGGTTCTGGTAAACTACGAAACGTACGCATAAACAGCATGTATCACCTTGTTTTTAATAATCATACGGATACTCGAGATATTGAGTTGATTGCTCGAAATAAGGGTATCCGATTACCAGCATTACATAGAATATTAACAGATGTTGGAAAAAAACAATATGGTTATTTGCTGTTTGATGGGTGCGCTCATTCACCTGCGAACACTCGCGTACGAACGGGTATTCTACCCGGCGATTATACTACTGTATATGATTTAGAAAAAGAATTTGTGTAACTAAATTTTATTAATAAAAAATGTATTACATTATTGTTTAAATGTTTCTAAATATGTTTTACAAATTTGTCCTTTAGCCTTATGACATTTACGTTGATACAGCTGTTTCATATTGGGAAATCTTTCGTACGCAATAGTTTGTAATTGTACTTTGTTATTCAAGAGTTTATCTTGTTTTACAGCAAACATGTCCATGGTGTCGTTGTTGTCATAGTAACTATGTAGAAATGTTAAACACCATACGCCACACGTTCGACTAATAAACGACTGTCGCTGTAGTTGTGTGTAAACTGAAAAAAAGTAGCAAAGACTACGAAAATAATCCAACCAATATTTTCGCTTGAAGAAAATAGGTGTCTTGCCAAAACTATCAAAAAAATAATATTTTGCACATCTTTAACGACACATATCCAATGTGTGCCAGGTTGATCATTTTCGTCCGTATTCCATACCCAACAGCATTTATTTTTTACACCTTTCGGTTGTACATTGGCGGGATAACAACCAAGATAAAACGGTTTAATAATAGCGTTTTCTTTTGCAAACATATCTATATCGTCCGTATCTAAAAATTTACTAATAAAACAAGTTAACGTGACCATAATTTTAAACGTTGGTTGCTAGGTAACTTTGTGTACGTCAGTATTTTGATTTAGGCCACGGCGGCTGTTGTAACAACAATGGTGCAATGTGGGTAATGTTGCTCCTCTTACTCTTTTCGGTACCGGTATCATACTCTTTGTTTGTTCACCACCCAATAATACTTTATATTCTTCTTTTAATTTTCTATTTCGCACATATGAAACGGGCATTTTACTTTTTTTGAGAAGTAATAGGACACGTTTTCTATCGGCAATTGTTAAACTGGGTTGTGTCCGTGTAAAATTGTGTGTTAAATCCATCACCACATCGTTATAGGATATTCCTAGAGTGGCATCACCAATTTTAATTCCATCTTCGGAGGGTATAATACCCTTCGCTTTAAAATGTGCATTAATTAGTTTTTCGGCGGACGCAATTGTGCCTACTTTTGGCGTAGCTTGGGGTTGTGCTGGTGGTGGATCAACAGCGTCATCATCAGTAGGTGTTGCTAAAGACTTTTGATAATTATCTTTTTTTCTTAGATAATTAATAATGTCCCTGCCGGCCAACGTAGACTTACTTTTTACAGAATTGACGGCTGTAGCATGACTTTCAATAAGACCCGCTGCTTCAGGTGTACGTGTTGCATCGTCGAATATTTTTTGTCTAGCCGTATTAGTTTGTAAAAAGGTCCATGAGTGAATTAAATTTTTCTGCGTCAATTAACGTTAACTATCGGACGTTTTCGCCCATTTTGTTTTTTATGCTTGTGCTGTTTTATTTCCTCCAATTTCCGAACTGCTTTGCGAATATAACCTTGTATGCGGAAATCTTCAACAAATGTGAATTTTATATCCTTCACCAGTGTATCTTTATCTACAATATATTCCAGAACCTCTTGATCACCTGGTGACACAGTGACATCAATTTTATTCGTTAATATTAATTCACAAATATGTAATAAATTCTTTGTCACCGTAGGTGTAATTTGTTCACCTTTCTGTTCAAAATCTAATTTCAAAAATTTATTTACGCTAGGAATAAGTTTGCTTTCTTTTTTCTTCAAAAGATTTTGTTTTTTTAATTGAAATAATTGCAGGATAAACACGTTTATGGCTTCTTCGTCTAATTCATTAGTATTTTCTTCACAACCCTCAGGTTCACTATAACCCTCGGGTTCCCCCTCGACTATTACAGGTGCGTGGTCATGTTGTTCTTCTTCAATCATCTCCTCAATTACTTCCTCTCTTTCGGGTAAAATATCTTCATCATTTTGCTCTTCCGTAGTTGCTAGTTCTTCATCGTCATAGTAGATATTTTCATTGAGTAATTCACAGACTTCATTGCACTCAACCATATGCCAGGTTTGAATATTTATTCCCGTACCGCTAATAATTTTGGGGTTCGGTATACGAGGTTGTCTGACAAAAGATTCATGTTTCTTAGATTCACCTGTTTTTAACTTGTCCCGCAATGTCCCACCCATGATGAATTATGATATTAAAGTTAACGCGCATAGTTTTTATAAATTTTTAATAGCCCAATGGTCCATGTCTCTTTGTTGTTTTTAGTAGTATTTTTACGAATCCATTTATCTAAATAAAGTCCACCTTTTTGTCGTTTTTTTGTGTAAGTCATTTATCCAATCGTAAAACCCAACTTTTTGTTTTTTCACTTTTTTTATTACTTTATTACCCACCAGGTTGTCATGTATTGTTTTTCGCATCCAAACTTGGGACGAACCACTTTTTTGCTTTTTCATTGTTTAAAAATTGTATTTTAAACGTGCCTGGGTTCCGTAACCGATACTTAATTGATTTCGAAACTCGCCAACACAAATAAGCTGTTGTGCTACTGTGGTGTTTGCTGTAAAATGAAGCTCTATCCCAAAGTTGCCACTTGTTGAATTGGGTAGCACCTGATCAAAACCATCTTTATTTGCAATTAAATCATTGACGATAATACCATAGCTAGTAACACAATCAGCATGCGAAAATGGCATTTCACTGTAACGACGATCCAGATTTTGCTGTAATGCCATATACACATCCTGTGAATTGCGGTAAACCGGTGGGATTATAGACTTGTTGATGGACACAGCAAGATAATCAAAAGTTGGAAAGCTGATTAAATTTGGGTTTAAAGTGTGCGCACCATTGTATACGGTTTGTGGTACAACTTTTGTAATTAACCGACCAGGTCGAGCACCATTGAAAAGATCTTTATGTTGTATATGTCGAGTATTTACCTGTATGGGTTTTGCCACGTAACGATAACCAGTTCGATAAAATCGAACTTCTTCATTTTTTTGTATCATCAATTCATTAATCGCAGCACTTAATTGTGCACTTGGTTTTAACATGGGTGCACACAATTTTAAATCGGTAATACGAATCTCGTGTAAAGCACATTCAGCTTCTACACCCATCATCATTTTCGTTTTTTCCAAACGTGTTAAAACCACTTTAAAATCAAATGATGTGGGTACATATCGCTTGTTATAGCCTAATAAATCGATACGTCCACGCATGTTAACACAGTATCCTGATTACGTGCCTGATATCTTTTTCGCATACCGTGATTTACAGTATTTGCACCATCCAGCATACCAACTACGCTGTTAAAATGCTGCGGTGTGTCGTGAATCATAAGCGTGATATCTTCTTCATCTTTATAATTGCTGGGTACACTGGTCATTAAATGGTGAATATAAGCAAGTTCGTTGTCCTTGCTTGATTGAGGTGTAATTAATTGATTATTTAAATACACCTCTTTCGATTTCCACCCCAATTTTAAGGGTGCCATATTCACACTAATATGCTGACCATTAGTCGCAGCTGTACCATCTGCAGAAAGATTTACGCTTAATTTCGCCTTCAAAAAAGCATCTTCGGTTTTAATGACCCCGTAATCCTGACGATTGTGTATAAATGTATAAACTTCTGCACGTGGATCACCAGGGGGTGAGGCTTATTCTAATTCGCGTGTCTCATCAAATGTATCATTATGTGGAAACGTATCAAACAATGTCATGTGTCCCACAAACCCGCTATCATGTTCTTCTATAGGTTCGCGCTCCGGAGAGGATGGATGTGCACGTTTCATCTTGAGAGTGATGTTAAAAATGAATTCTTTTTTCCACGCACAAGTATATTTAAAAAAATACACAATTTTGTTTTTTATAAAATCTTTTATTATATTTACTTTTAATACACATTTTAAAACTAATTATTGTTAATAATAATTGTCATCATAATCATAACGATGTCTTTGCCGTCTACATTGTCTTGGTCTATCGGTCATCCATTGTGGTGGGGGTTGCTGTGACCGTTGTCTTGAAGGTTGATTAACACTAGGTGCTTGTCTCTGGGCTGTTTTTTTACCAAATATGCTACCCACAATACTTGTACCAACACTTGGTAATATCGAAAATTGAATATCGTATTCGGAAACATACGAATTAAGAACATTTATTAATTTTTCCAAGGTGTAATAACCCGCAGGAAGATGCATCATATCCATTTCGTATTTTATTTCAATACCTAAATGGGAAGTAGTTGGAAAACAAAGTTTAATATGCACACCACAAGTATCCTTTTTAACATTTTCAATAGTTAGCGGGTACGATATATTTAAAACACGCATAAACAGATCTTTATTTTCAGCATCCAAATGAGTAGGTAACGGCATTACAAATTCATTCGTGTAGTTTTCACCACCCACTTTGTTTTGAGCATTGCTAACTATTTGCAAGTTCATTCCTGTTTTTTCAGCATAATTTCAATAACTCGTCACGATAAAAGATTCCCTTGATCTCTTCCCCTTTTAAGTCCTCAAGACCGTATGTTACAGGGTCGGTAATGAAGACTTTTTTAACACGGAAAAGTTCCATGACCCAACGTCGTAAACTTGATTTTTCAAAAATATTATTTTTTATTCGCGCGATACGTACAACATCCCCTTGTTTTAGTAATCGGCGCGTTGGCTTGCTGTTATTAAGAATACTTTTTAACCTATGAAAATCATCAACTGTTTTACCCTTCTTATACACATCAATCGGTGTAAGATTATGTATACCTCTGTGTGGTGACTCGTTATATCTTTCGACAATCAATTGCAAATTTTTAATATAATTATAACCCTGATTCAGAGTTGTTAGGGAACGTGTTATCATGGCTTTTATTGTTTCAATAAATCGTTCAGCGTGTACGCTTTTGTTTTCCTGATTGTATGTGTGAAATAGGGTAAAACCATATTTTTTTGCCAAATCTCTTTTGATCAATGTAAATTCGGTACCCTCATCACTTTGTATTTTCAAAGGAATTTCACCTTCTTCGATGAGAATTTGTTCAAATTTATTGGCGGCATTTTTAGCCGATTTTGTTTTCAAAGGTTTTACAAACGCATAACGTGAATACACATCAACACACACAAGCAAATAACGATATTGATTATTAAAACCTGATAAATTATTCAAATCGGCTAAATCAATACTCCATTGCGTATTACATTTATATACATTAATACTTAAACGTTTATACCGGATTAATGTTCTACTATGTAATGTGTATGCTTCTTTTTGTTCCTTGTCTAACTGTTTGTGTTTTAGTAATCTTGATGATTTTTTAATCAAATCAGCGTCGACAGCGACCTTTCTTGTGCGACGTTTCACCATCTTTCTTACTAAAAAATTACAACAACAGATTTTTATCGATCATTTGTTTATAGATTTTATCTATTTCTAAATCACCACCGTCCCAGACTAATTAGATCAACATAATCATACGAATATTCTTCATCCAATTCTTTTTTATACGATAGTACGGCTTCTTTTGCTGTTATCTTATTCGTATTCATGACAGCTATAATACACGCCATAGCTTGAGAAGTCTAAAAACAAAGATCAAATATTACATCCAATGGCACATTACCAGTTGTGCATATTGCTCTAACTTTTTGGCAACACACATTCATTTGTGGTGCAAACTCCGTGAGAATATCATTTTTTTTATCTAATTTGGAACGTGCTGCTTCTACAATGTCCTCAAACGACAATGAATCTTTTGTCATTTTTTTTAGCGTTTCTAACAATATTTTTTTTTTCTTTTCCTTGCATTTCACGTACCTCGCCATCACTGTCAATTGCGGGACGTTTTCTCTTCTTCTTGCTTCTTTCGCTTGTTTTACCTTTCGTTGCAACCTTCGGCTGCAACGGCAGTTGGACTGCTGTGGTTAGCGCCAGCTGCACTTCTGTCACACTGAATGGCGAAGACATTGTTGAGGCTGGTGTTGAGGGTGGTGCTGGTGTTATGGGTTTTGTGGGAATTGCTGATTCGGAATCGACTTGCAGCTCATGATCCACATCTGCCAGAAAATATTTGATTACTTTTGCCACGTGTGCCCAATCTTCATTCTTTGACACATAAAATTTTGCCCATGCTTCAACCCACTCCAATTCAACTGCTGGGTTTAAAGGTTGTGAAGCCATAACAACATCGGCATCATCTTCATCACCGCTAGGCACATCAGTGACCATCTCGTCCAACGCACGCTCTGCAGTCATACGATGCAACACCAAACCTTGATACTTGCTATCGCGTAGCACCAAACGTGTGGGATTTTTCTGATAATCTTCACCTTCTGATAAAACGCAATCATTTCGACCACCTCTTTTAGCTTTTACGAGACATTCATAAAACATCAACATCTCATCTCGGGTGAGAGACACTTTCATTTTGTACAAATTTTTCGCACCCGAACTGGTTGGTGCTGCACTACCAAGACAGCATTTCTGATTAAAACGCTCATACCAAACTAATTTTCGAGTTTTATTTTCAAATCTAACACACCGATTTATAGATCGCGTATACTGCGCCAGCAAACAAACCGCATGCGGTCAAACATTCTTTCGCTATAACACCTTGAATATGAAAGCAAACTTCATTTCGAATATCTGTAATTTTTTCTAAATAAAAATACTTATACTCCTCACATGAAAAATCAAGATGACCATATATGGTTATTAGATAATACCCGACACATAAGATCCACATAAGTCTTTGCATATTTGTAAAATAACTATTGTCACATGTTAACACATACATTAAATCACATAAATCACTCTCTGGTATTTTAGGAAAAAAAGAAGCGAGTCGAGAAGAATATAAGCCCAAATATTTAGTTATTTTATCATTGAACTTTTCTCTAATAATAGGACTTGAAATTTTACCCCAACCCGACCAGTTTGTTGTCGTATACACACCCATTACCATACAAAGCAAGCGGAATAATCGCAATACGTAGACATTCTATATTATGCTGAATGTGTACTTTATACACATGCATATATATAACAACGGGTAAAATACTCTCGTGTAAAAAAATACCATGTTGTAAAAAAAAGCTAATTATATGTTTTTTAGTACTCGCATAACGTAACCCGTACTTTTTGTGTATATAAGTAAGAAACCCACAAGCGAACATGCTCAGTGGTCCTACGCCTTCCAAACGGATCACACCGTCATCGTGGAACCGCAATAGTTGGCTCATTTGACCGCCACTATGCTGCCAGATAAGTAACACGCTCCATTGTTTTCCACATCTTCTTGTTATATCTGCTTGAAAACATGAATTACATTGGTAAAATGTACTGTTGTGTAGAACTGTAAAATGTCTTCGATTTACAAACATTAGTTCGCATCTTCGCCATTTTTTTCTTTTTTAAAGGATTCCGTAATACAATTGAGGTTTCTTGACATAAATTATTTCTTTAAAAAATTTCAAAATCGAATCGTGTATGTAAATAGTATCCAATAAATAGGCTTCAAATAACTCTTCGTATTTCGTTGTAAGCTGCAAAATCACTGTAGAAGAAAGTGTTACCGTACCGTATACAGTCTTTGGAATATGTTACTATACGGGTGATCAGTAAATAATATAATGCATTTTCCCGTAAAAACCTCACGCATGAACTCAGGTAATATTTCAAACCTTCTTTCCGATATGTCTGGACTATAACCACGACGTAGCGCATATTCCGTTTCATCAATCATATGAATTGAAAAATAATGACACACAGTATACAATTTATCTTTATAATAAACACAAGCGTGTTTTACATTTTTATTCATTTTTTATTCGAAATGAAGAAATATCTTACGCTTCCCCAAAAGAGTGTTTACAAATTTTAACACGCTAGCTGATAAGAATGTACTATATCCACGAGCTATTTCATAAACAACCGTTTTTACATTTTGATCACATTTTTGACATAACTGTATAATAGTCCATATTAAACTATGCATATTTAAGGATATTTGTCCAGATATACCTACCCAATTATTACTGATATATACTACTTTTAATATCCTTTGATTATAATATAATGTAAATTCATAAACATCGTCGTTAACAATTAATTGTAAATTGCGCGCAAAACTAATTAAGCGTCCTTCATAGTGTATAACCATTCGTCCCTTTTCCGTTTCCAATCTGTAGATCTTCGCAGAATCCATAGTCGTATTGTTTTTTGTATTTTAAACTTGTTAAGTTTTGAGCGTAATTGTACAACGAGTAGGGTGTTAATAATAAATAATGTGTACCAAATCAAATCGTCCTGAATGTAAATGTACAGATATTTCGCCAAATAGTAACTCAAATCCGTACGCCAGTAATCGATCGTATTTTGATAGTGTAAAAATGTATAATTACACTGTTTCCAAAACTCGTCCAAATATAACTTAATACGCTGATCCACACCGTCGTCTAATCGCCACTCTCCCTTGGGTAGAACAATAGCTTATTTCGGACTTTCTAGTTGCTTTACAATTTTACGTTTTGTACGGGTTTTAAGATTTGAATAATAGTGTATCATAAAAACCACAGTATGTTCATCGCAATATAATAATTTTGTAAAAAATATAAAAATATTTCCTACGGAAATATGGTTTTTTATGCCAAGCCTGAATTATAGTGATAAGATAAAAGTAGGAAATAGTTAGATTGGATTGTGGCAGATTAAGGTGGGACTTGGCGGAGAAGGAAATTCCAGTGCTTTTACCTACGTAAGAAACATAAAGTCAAGGCCAAATTTTAGCTTGATGGTCAACCATTTCGTTAATATTTCTTTGAAAGTCTTAATAGCATGGTACAGGAACATGATAACATACCATCTGCGCATACCACATGCACACTTCATTATATTTTTCTGTTTTAGTCACTAGATTTTTAAAACATGGCAAGTAAAATACTGTTAAACAGAACATCATCAACATTTGATTCCAGATGTAAATTTATGGTGTAAACCAATTCTTGAATGATTGATCTCAATCGCTACACTCATATTTTTCAGTCAAGTTCAACAGTCAATGTTGTTTTATGTTGCGGAACAACTGGTGGCGCTGCTTGAACAAGATATTGCTCTTCCTCTGCCATGACTCTCAACGAAATTCATACAGTTCGGGTCACCTAATTTTTGTCTTTCAGTTAGATTTGTGTCTCCTGATGGAATGCACACTAAATGGTGCAATTTCTGATAGGTGTGGTCATTTTATACATTGCCTGTATAACATGATACCTAATCTACATATTATTACATAATTATACCACATTTGCTTTTACATATGATTACGAGTATTGTGAATAGTGAGTATAATCATTATAAGTTACTGTACACATCACTTACAATTCACATCACTTAGATTTTTCATGTCGTTTTCAAAAAATACAGAATTTGGCCTTCATGAGAAAGGCTAATTGGTCACACGATGGGTTAAATGCAGGGTTCAAAATAGTTATTTTAGTGATTCCAAATGTTGTGTTCTCTAGTATTATTATTTTGTGATTGACCAATTGTTCCACCACCGGTCAGACAACATTCAATTACAGAGGGGCAGAACTATGGAACGAATTGGACAATAATACAAAGCTAATGCCCTCCTTGAAACGTTTTAAGAACAAATGGACCTATTTCTTAATGAACAAAATTTCGATCTCGCAAGTCTAGACAAAAATTTCATCACAGCTTATTAGTAATATTCCGAAGTTTCGTTGCTAAATGTTGTAAAATTGTGGATAATATAGCCCTGCAAAGTTTACCGTTTTTCAGTCATTTTGTATTATGCACATGAAATTGATACCGGATTCAGAAAGCAGTATCGATTTCCTCTAATACAAAATGGCTGAAAAACAGCAAACTTCACAGGGCTAGATTATCCACATTTTACAAAATTTTGCAACATTTTGCAACGAAACTTGGGAATATTACTAATTTTGTGATTTCCAGACTTGTCTAGATCAACATTTTTTTCATTAGGGAATAGGTCCATTAAAGAAAGACATGCTACCTATACTTTAAAAATTAGTTATGGACTACTTTTAATAATAGAAAATTTTATAATAGTAAATTCTTAACCATGTAATAATATTAAACTTGATACTATAATAATTTTTATCATTCCATGTATGTAAAAGCCTCAAAAAGTCAAAAAGCCTCATTGAGGAACACAAAATTATGTCTGTATGTATTATTCATGCCACAACCTGCTCAATGCCAATACTGATTTTATAATGAAGTCATAATATCAATCAACCGTGTAAAGGTGATGTCATTCATGTGGATTTTTTAACAATAATTCCCTTTGGAACTGGTGAACTTGGAGTTGATGCTTGTATGGCCCCTCTAAAGAGACTATAGTATGTTTCCGACAGTTCTCTTCCACTGACTTGTCAAAAGCAACATTTATAATCCAATAATAATTGATATATGAATAAAGAAAAGCACGTTATAAATTGCATTTATGCTAAGCATAGCAAGATTCACAATAACCATGTTGTCATCCATTTCGCCTCGCTTTATTGTAATCTGTATGCAAAACATTCAGTGCTTACAACTGCATTCAAACAACTGTATTTTACAATAGCTATAGAAATTAAAAACTTGGAGACATATAATTATCATATGGCCAACACGGCAAGAGGATCAGCATTCAATAAGAATCACCAATTTTGCATAGGTTGAGTCACGATAATGATGATATTAATGAGGCTTTACGTTCGCTTATGTGCTTCCATGCAGGTCAACTTTTTTGATTTGTTATCAAGTGGTATTTCCAAATTGTTGGGAAGATGATCTTACATTCAGTGCTTAGTGGCTGTGGAGGCTTTGCTGGTTTGTCATTGCCTGTTACAAGCTCAGTGCCGTAGCCAGAATGATAATTGGGGGGGGGGGGCACATATTCATATATTTGTGTTCACATACCATAAAAACAATTGATT